GGACCAAGTAATTTGACAGAATTCACACCTTCTAACAACGAAAATAACTGCTTACTTCGCTAATTGATACGAAGCCTTGTTTTTGTACTTGCAAATCCAATTTTGCCTGAAAATTCAAGTTATAGCGTTTTCTCTTTCGGCCATAAAAATGTGCTAGCGATTGTAACGCAACAAAACGCGGCGGCCTGTCGCGTTAACTTGCAAAGTTGGGCTGATGAGAGAGCAAATAAAATAAGAACTTTTTTAGCTTCAGGTTATGATCGGGTAGGCAGAAAAATGACCTAGCCCTCAATTTTTGATTACCAAGAGAAGATTGTGCCTTGGATCGCATTTGGGATGTGACTTGTACATTCCAATAGTTTAACTTTTGTACATAACAAATATTTGAAAGAAAACTTTGTTGGCCCTTTTTAACTCGTTCTATTCAAATGTAAAACATTACTAATCGTATGCTAATGGTGTGAATTTCTTTGTATCACACGCAGTCTTAAAATTTCACTCGTAAAATATGGTGGAAGTATACATCAACTTTAAGCTATCTTTAACTCATGATCTGACCCTGCTTTGAAATGATTTCCTTATCATGTAGTTCGTATTCACTGTGTGATAAAAGCTGTTAAAAGACCTTGTAACCAAGGCATTTTCTGTATCCACCATCACCTTCCCTTTCATTCTAAAGTAATTGATTTTCTGTTTTCTATAGGTCTTAATGTATGATTCACACAGTCAAGAAAAAAATGATATGCTTTCAATGGTACACGCGTATAACGTTTCATACCTAATCCAGTTTACCTAATGAGATCGTTTTACTCGCGATGGAAATGTAACTTTTTTTGTTCTCCGTTCATTATAAACGCATATCCAGGCGACGGATTACTTAAGTTCTGTTGTTTAGCCATTTGTTGTTGGCTTAAGCTTACGACATGCGTGCGCTGCAAACAAGCTTCGATTCATTAGGCACGAAAGCTTCAAAACCAATATGCAGTGTGTTTTTTGTTATAGCAGCTTATGAGTAAGCCATTTTTGGAATACGGAGGGCGTTAAGATAGGTTCAGAGTAATTACTATATTGAAATTCACCCAGTTGTCACCCGCTCTAGTACGTGTGGATAAACATTTACATTTACTTGGCTTAATTATTTCGGAAGGCCTTTTAAACAGCGTACCTTTCAATAAAAAAGAATATTGGTCTTTTGTTTTCTGTTATTTCCAGTAGCTATTAATAAATCTATCTTTGTACCACATACATGAGTCGTTCATTGCCTAATTGTGAGAAATGTGTAAAGATGCTTTCGACGAATTTTTGGCCTTGGCCTCAGTCCCGGCCTTTAGAAATCTTTTGCGTGGACCATTTGGCTAAACCCTTATTCCACCATCCTTTGTTTGTTCGTCTCGGCACCTTTGTTTTCTCTCTAAAGTTAAAAAAGACCGAGAAGTTAGTGACACAAAACTCCAGTTAATTGTTGCCGATACAATTATGCACCTAGTTAACAAAGCTATTCCGCTGAAATAATCCCCAATCTCTGTATTTCTTTCTGTCTTTTCTTTAAAAGGGCTACGAACGCTTCCATTTTTCTTTCATCCTACCCAGTCCCTTCCTCAGAAACTAGAATCCTTCCAAGCTGGTCTCTCAAATTTATACCAAAACGAAACATTCGTCTGTTGGATAATTCGTCCAGACCGATATTCACCTCCAGTATATTCTCGTACTTTTGGGGCACAAAGTTACTTTTTTTTTGCCAGTTAAGCCGTTATGTCAGACGACAGAGCCCAATAACATCATAATCGCGACTTATTTGACCAATCAGGTCAATAACCAGAGTTAAGCGCTTTAAAATACTTAAGAATTAAAGATCAAAAACGCTCTACAGGACTTTGAGACTACAGTATTAATGGCTAAAAAATTATGAAATTAAAAAATGCTTTTTTAGAAAGGAAAATTACCATCAACTGACGTACAACTCACTTTAAGTCTGAATATGACTACCGCGCAGGTTGTCGAAAACGTCGATAACCGTCAACAACAGTCCTATTCAGAACTACACCCACCCGGACGAAAGTATACCACCTACTTATGAAATCACTCCTGGGTTCAATCTTTTCACTGTTAATGTTTCACAGTTTAATTTGTTCTATAGAATTGCAATCTTCTCCTTGTTCTTGTTCACCTTTACCTCTTTTCAATCCTAAAATCTACGCATATGCCTTACAGTATTAACCGAAAATATGGGCTTCCTTCCTGCCGGAATTGAAATCAAATTTGAAGGAATTCATCCCCGTTGCAATTCCTTCCAGTGTTCACAAAAGGCATCTTTCTGCAGTGAAAACGGCCAATATCTTGTGGTGGACATCGGCGACGGACTCTCCCAGTGCGACCTCGTAGAAGTAGACTGCAAAACAGTCGGTTTTTTTCTCAAAATCAGTGAAGAAATCGGTAAAGTGTGGCGTAAGAGTCTTACGCACGCGAAGCGCGCGAGTATCACACGCCCGTAGGGCGTATGTCCCCAGTCCCGCTCTCTGTTTTCAGCCTCGTTCCCGACCTTTTGTTCAACTGCTCGCGCGTACTTGAAGACGCAAAAATAAGGACTGTTTTGCAGTCTATCGTAGAAGGAATTTCGGAAATAAGCTCTAGGGGATAAATTTTCAAAGGCCGTTTTTTGAGGGCCTATATTGCTGGTTTGCACGTGACGTCACGGCGGCCATGTTGGTGGTTAAGAAGAAAAGCACTTCTCTCCTCTGGGAACTTGAATCTTATTTTCATGTAAATTTTTCGAGAAAAAAGTGTATTGTATTGACCCCCAACATGGCCGCCTTGTCACGTGGTTGAAAATCAAGAATTCGGAGCGGAGGGAGGAAGGAAATTTGGGTTTCAAAATTTCATGGGCTTGTAATAGACCAGTTTCGAATTAAAAATTACCGCTGAATACAAACATTAACGACACATTCATACAGGGTTAGCCTCGACTTAAAGTAATATATTCAGAAATTCCAGCAAGTAAGTGTTTGAGATTTAAATATATACAATCGACAGAGCAATAAACAGGTCTTTTTCTCGTTGGAATTTGTGAATATATTTATTTCAGATGGAGGCTAAGCCTGTAAAAAATGTGTTCTCACTTCTTTAATTCAGCGGTCATAGCGAACTCGAAACCGGACTATTCGAGAAAATTTTTTGAGGCAATTTTTCAATCTACAAATGATTTTGGCACCTACTAGAAAATATCTCTGAACATAACAACTTTAAGAACCACACTGTCTGGTTGTCAGGCTAGCTCAACTTTCACAAAAAAGTGGCGAGCGAAAACTTGCAGTAATTCTTATTCTTTATTTGAGGACAATTACCAAATGTAAGCGCAGCGGGATTTTATATGAAGGGCTCATTGAAGGAGGCTTTTTGCGTTCAAATGTGGGGGGACTTCAGACGTTAATGGTTCATATGCAGCAATATGTCTGATATTGGAATGATTTTGACCATATGTTCATAGCAATACCCTATAAATATTTTCTATGGCAACGGCAGCGAAAATAACTCCAACTAACCGTTATTACTTGTCGAATTAAGGAGAATACTCCAGGAGATGAAATCTTAAAGACTGTGTCCAAGTTAAGGAGAAATCCCGTCGTATTCGTGAAGTTGCAATGTACCAAAAAGAGTTATACACATACAGAATTGTTTCCCATATTAGATTAAACCAATTGCTTCGACGTTCCGCTCTGCTTTCACCGTCATGATATCTTTCGCCGTGCATATTACTGGTTAATCTTACTCTGATAAGTGACACTAAAAGACTTCAAGACAGTGAGGGCGAGGGAGAGGATGCCTATTCAAATGCTTGTAAAAACGGTCACACTTTCGTCTTCATGATAAATATCGCCAGTGGGCCGTTTAGTCCTGAACCAAACGTAGTTAGCGTCTAGCTTTACTCTGATTTTCCACTTAACGCTAACTTAGCCTGAAAGCGTGGACACAAGTATACGGGCGGTTAATTTAGTGGTAAAGGCATTAGCCTGCGATCATGCCCTCTCCCTTTATCTCTGTAATCTGTTTTCCCTCTCGAGCCAAAGACGCAAAGAAGCCAAAAAACAAAAAACGCTCGATCTCAGGTTATAAAGACATGTATTAGTGAGGTTTTTAGTCAGAACAGTACCAAAAATCCTTCGTAATTTGGTTTAGGAACAATTTTCTGCGGTGATTAAGACGTCACCCATGATCAGCATTTTCATTTTAACCTACACGACTAGTATGGTTGCAAATACACCAAACAGAATAAAATATTAGCTAGTTTTATGATTAACGTTTTATTCTATGTTATTAGGATATATATATAATATATATATTTTTAGCAAATGTTTATGATTGTAAAGCGCATTTGATCATATGTATATGTAAATCTGCGCTATAGAAATATTGAAATATTATGTAATTATTGTTGGTTGTCTCCTGCAAGATGGAATTAAACCTGGTTATGTTTCATTTGGATTGTTTGTTTTTTATTATTCGAGTGGAGTGCCTGTAGGCTCAGATCTAGAATACGGTAGCTAAGTGTACTGCCATTAATTCCCGCCACTCGGGAGACTGTGTAGGGAATGGGTACAAGTTTTGGGCGCAAAGATTTCTGGGATCGTTTTGGTGGACAAGCGTTACATCGGCGAATCATAACTAATGCTTGATCACCCAAACGATCCCAGAAATCACTGCACCCAGAGCTTGTACCCATTCTCCTTAGAGTTCCTGAAATGGGAAACCCACGAATTTGTTTTTCTCTCTCTCTCCTTCTATTCTATTTTCCAGAACCCACTAAAGAACATCAATCGCAAATGGACTCCTCTCTTTGATCAACATCAAAAATTTAAGTTATCTATTTCATTTTGAAAAGGTAATTCTGAAGCATGCCTTGGAATATTGCACTATCCTAATTCAATTTTAGCTGTTTTGGCGTATTTTTGTTCCAATTACCTCTTTTTTATGCCGTTCATTTATACTCTAATCTTAACTAAACTTCAGCAATACTCCCGGACCTCCTCTATATGGCATCCTTCAATACAACATTCTTCTACTATGTTTGTGGATGAGCTAGATCTCCTTAATCGATGAAGAAAATTGTTGGCTTCTTTCTCATCGACCATAACTGACCCTGTGAAAAGGCAGATAAACGAGCATAAATGCAATTTTTTTCGTTGGTAACTCAATAGCCTGCGCGTAGACGAAATTAAACTCTGGTTAACTCCGTCTGCGAAACAGCGCCGAAATCCTTGTTCTGGACTTCCAGCTGTGTACCCAGATTTGAGTACGCACCACGATTGGCCAGTTAAAAAAGACCTTTGTTTTGTTTGTCGCAAGACTGGTAATAGCCGATCAGGTTGAAGGGAAATTCGAAACGCACTTCCGGTAATTCGTTGAGTCGGTTGGGGGTCCAGAACAAGGATCTCTGCGCTGCTTCGCAGACGGTACTAATCAGAGTTTAGTTATCGTCTGCACGCAGGCTAGTAACTCAAGTGAACAAATTATGTATAATCAGTTTGGTTATGACGACTAAGTAGTACAAAAACTGATTGGAAAAAAATGCAATTTGGAGGAGTAATTGACAGTTATGTGAGGGAAAGTGTGCCTTGAAATAACGAGACGTGAGCATGCCAGAGCGAAGATATAGCTCTAGCCTTCGTAGCAGGCGCTTGGAATTAGTGGGCACAAGAAAAAATGGAAGCGCGAGAAGGAGACACGCGAGGGGAGAGGTAGCATGCGTGTCTCCCTCGCGCGCGCCCGTTCTCTCTTTCGCCCACTACTTCCAAGTGCCTGCTACGCAGGCTGATATAGCTCCTCTGACTTAAAAATTTGGCGAATGCCGGAAAATTTCTCCCTTAGGTTCTCGTCACCTTACTCTCTTATTAGAAAGATGCAAAATTGTGAAATGGTCTGTTATAGTTACAGTTTATTTGTATTTGGTGTTAAGACCGTTTACAGAGATGTTCATGTAACTCAATTAATAGCTATAGATTTGTCATGAACTTAATGAATAATTCACAAATTTTACAACTATTAATTCACTCCACGTCCGATCTGTCAAAAATCGAATTCCAAAATGCTGTTCTTATGAGAATGGCAGAGTACACTTCTTAGGTACTTACTGTGTGTTCTGCTTTCGTCATAATGATAGCCGTAACAAACCGCTAAATATACTTCGATTGTGTGATCACCGCAGAAGAAACCGTGGATTGGCCGATGACCAACTTCATAAAGTTTCTTAAGTTGAGCTATAAAAACAGAACGAAAAAATCAAATCAATTACAGGGAAGTTATTTTAACCGCTGACAGAAAGTTTCAGAGCGTCATAGGTGACATTGTTTGAACGTTATTGCTACTAAATTCAAGCTTGTAGTCTATTGAGTTGGTAAGTCATTTTTAAAATGTTGGTTTTTGAAGTGAATTTGATGGCAATCTAAGGACTGTGTACGCAAATCTTGGTCATGTCCACTACAGTGTGCTATGCGTGATTTAACTGCAACAGCCAAAGCCAAGGGTTGCAAACAAGTGCGCATGGGCAGTTTTGCAGCGGGATTGTGATGGAATGGAATCGCAGTAAATTTCTAGCAAATTGTTTTGTCAGATTTACACGAGTGCTTTGAAATTACATGTGATAACCAGCCAATCGAGGCTAACATCGGTCGAAACCCGAATCACCCAATAAGATAGTGTTTTATTATTTTTTGATTTAAAATATGTCCAAGCTCATAACATCCTTAACCTCTGCGAAGAATCTGTTCAAACTATTAGCCCAGTTTCTTGACAGATTTAGGATACGAACGGATGTTTCTTCTTCTTCTGTCGTCATTTTGTAATATTTTTTTCTTTCGTCCATTGTCGTAAATCGTCGGATATTAGAAACATCATTGGATACTTGACCTAAATCTTATAAATTTGTTCAGCGCTAGCTGGGTATAAATAATTCGCTGGTCGATTCAAGCCAACCAGAAACGGAGAAATATCTTCTCAACTATAATATACCGTATTCGCTGTTGGCACCATCTTTGCTTACTCGTGAGGATTGATGTAATAAAATTGTCACGTGGTAATGGTGATCGTGGTCGAGTTTGTTTATTCTAGACATCAAATAATGAATGAAGGAGAACTTAAAATAAATCAAGACAATAATAGCAAAATATGGATCGAGATGATCGTTGCGTCGTTTTTGGACGCTATAGTGATCGATGATATCCACACAAATAAGCAACTCTCACGCGAAACTACACTATACATTTCGAATCACAAAGAATCCATTTCTTTTGAAAAAAAAGTAAGAAACAAACTCGACATTTGCATCCCCTTTCATCAGCTGTTCTCCGTTGAAAGAATACGTGGCATCGTTTTTATTCTAGGAGTTTCTACTTGTGTGCAAACAAGACGGCCATATTATCTGTTTGTTTTTCTGCGGGTTGCTCATACAGGCCCTGTCTTAAATCTGTTTATCCGCAATACTCCCTTGCGCAAAATGCTCAAATAAATGGTTTTTCTTAGTGCCGGTAGCTTCGCTGATTACTTTTATTAAAACTAAAATCTACTTTACACTGGCCCAATTATTTGTTAATAAATGGCTACGTATATACCGGTAAACAAGAAATATCTTACCTCCATGCACGTAGTCCTTTGAAAAAAGTGCTATCAACACTGCCAAGAACCATCCTCTAATTCTCGCCATCTAACATTAAAGTACAAAAACAAAATACCTTTTAGAAAGCCGCGTCCGTTTGTTTGCCCCAGCATTTGTTGAATCAAATGTTGAGAGAATTTGAACAGATCTTCCCCGGTCATTGTTGAACGTGTTGAAAGGTCTGCAAGGTTAGTGAAACAAAGTCAGACCGGTTTAAACTTTTATTCAACATCGCTTCAAAATCAGTTTAAACTTCACTCGTTCACCGTCATCTTAGAAGCGGAAAACATTATTACATGCCGGAAAATTTATATTTATTGTGGATGTTACGCCAGTCTCAGCTAAAATCATACTGGCCGTTTTTGCTTTAGAAATTTAAACTTGTAACAGTCTCTTGAAGGTGATTCAAAAGAGTAAATATAAAAGAATACCCGGTCAACAGCTTTGTCAAAGGTTTCACAGCGCAACCGCATCTCTACAAGTAGGCTTATTGATGTTTTAAGTCAGGCAAACGCTTACGAGCTGAATGTATATGCTCTGGCTCAATTTAATCCTTTCGGCAAATTTTATTTTTTATGTCATTTTTTTGGTTATTCTAATGTATGTTAATGAGTTTAAAACAAAGGGAAAAATAGCACCAAGGATACGTAAATTGAACCATATAACGGACATAAATGTCGCTATCTCGTAATCCACAATCCATCCAGTTACAGTATACTCTTAATGTAATATGCGAAATTATTGTTCTTTTTTTTTTTTCTAAAAGTTTAACCCAAACCTTAAAAGAGTTTCAATTTCTTGACGTTCCTTAAATTCTGCTGTTATTCGTCGGTTTCTTGAAAGGTTAACAGGCTTTCGACTCCATTGACGTTAAGCGAGGCTTGTTCGGCGCGTTCTGTGCAAAATGAAATCATGCAGCATTTTTTTTAAGGGAAGATTTACCTTTATCCAAATCTACTGTTTTCAGGTTCCACACAATGTGTACAAAACGTAGGTAATAGTAGTGGGACGATGTTTATGTATGCGGCACTTCCTTGCGAATTTTTTGACGTAAATCCAGCTGGGTCTCAGCTGTGTGCACTATAGGACAGATTGACATCTCCACCCGTGTGTGTACAAGTTTTCCTTTTCTGTTACTGCGCACGTAATTTGCTCATCTGTTGGAATCCACGTAGGTTTTATTTCTACATTTACAGTTAGTTAAGCGACGATGAATGCTGATAACAGAAAAAGAGAGCAATGCAGAGCCTCTCTAATGAAGAAAATTAATGTTCGCTGCTAAAAAATTCGACCGACCATCGAAGGTCTTTTCAACCAGGAAGCTTTTACGTGGTGGAACTTAAGTTTTCGAAGATTTCATTCGTAATAGTTTATTCCACGGTCGAAGTCAGCACTTGTTTCTAATGGTGTCTCCGAAGTCGAAGTGAGGTCTCGGCGTGAGTCAGTGCTACATCAACCACACAAGGTGACTTTTAATGACGCTATAGTGATTCAGTGCTGAGTGTGACATATTTTTTTCCCGATGTTTTTACTTTTAGTGCGCTGAGAATAAACCAACACAAAAAATGCTCAAGGCAATATCCATCTGTAACGCGAAAAATAATTCCCAAATAGAATCCATCCGCAGAGTTATACTTCCGTGAAAATTTGATAGTGTGCTTCACTGTAACTATTAATATTGACACGGTATTGGTAAATGAGTTCTTAACATATTCTTCCGACGTTGGCCTGGATGTTTTTTTTGTTTTCGGACTACCTTGGTTGATAAACGTTGTAACTACTTTGGCCTAAGGGTGTACGCATTGAGGAGTATAAGGCCGAGGTTTGTTTTATTTTGTTTGTTTGTTTGTTTTTATTCCTTTACTGTTCATCTAAGTGACTCTCAACCAAACAGCTTCTTAAGTAGTAGCAAGCTGTATAGACAGGAAGTAGATGGTGTCAGGGGGGGTACTCCTGGGAATTCTTGGTGGGGGGTGTCGCCCGGACCTCCAAATGCTGACCCTATTTCAGACCAAAAATGTCATTTTTGACACCCGTTTTCAGACCTGGCCTTTAAAATACATACCCCAGTTTTTAGACCTCGCTTAGAAAGTCGTGAGGTCGACTTCTGGCAAGTCTTCTTAGATTGGTATGCCAACAAAAAAATTTCTTAAAATCCATTTCGAATTCGCATATTTCTCTTTCTTTCTTATCATCATTTGGAATTAAAATGATAAATATATTCATACACTCCCATAGTTTCCTCGAAAACCATACCCGATTCCAGACCAAAACGGGCGAAGTCTATACCCGTTTTAGTTATGGCTTGTGAAAGACAAATTAACAGCACTCTTGGAAACTGTAGAATGGACTTTATAAGCCACCTGCTTCTAGTTCAGTCTCTCCGTCAATAAATATAGTTTTTTCTCATTTCTGTGAATTAACCTGTTAATATAATTACCTGTTCCTGAGCAAAAACTTGAATGAACGAAGAGAAAAACTACATTCAGCATTAAGGAAAAACCAACATTCAGCATTACATACACGCCGTCAGGTAAGGCCAGAGTCATACTAACGGTATCAGATGCTGAACTTGTTGAATAGCCTTTTTTGGATGGTCCACTCCTTATCATGGCTGTTCAGCAAACGCCCGTTTCTTTGCAGAAAATAGTCACTTTGCGCCATGCGACACACCTTCTCTTTATCAGTGACACAAGAGTAACCCGCCCGGGATGTAAGTGTTGAGTACGTGATTGATTTGGTCGAAAACACGTCCGTGCGATAAGGATAACGATTTCATCTCCCAATTTTCTGTGTCTTTGTTTATTCAAAATACCGCTAGAAGAGGTCGTAAAAAAATTGGCGTTTCGTAGAAGACACGAGCAGACTCACGTGTATTAAGCACACGGCTTAACTCACGAAATGATTCACGCGTCAGAAACATATGAGTTATCAATTCCGTCGATCCAGATCTCTTCTATATCAGACGACAAAATCAAATTCACGAGTGTAACAGACGGGACACTGCCTTTTCCACGTGTTAGCCTGAGACTCACGAGCCCGTAATAGGCAGTTTTACCTCTGAGAACGAAACAGTTAATTTCCACACAGGATGAAGACAGGTCCAAACATAACCAATAACCGTCAAATATGTGATGAAAAGTACTTGACATTATTTAACCGGAGGCTGACGAAGGTTAAGTGTTTTATAGAAAATCCTATAACGATCAAGTACGATGGTATGTTTACATCACACGACCGGGCATAAGTCAAAGGTTGATTAAAAAAGAAAAAAAAAAAACAGTCAACTAAGTGAATGTGCGCGAACGTTGGCAAGACGTGAACTAAAAATGTAGTGTATTTTATTGACCCGTCACTTACAGTGGAACTTGTTAAACTGCTCACCTACCCCTCCCCTAGGCCAACATTAACACTTACTTCTCTCTTAGGGGAAAATGTTGGCTTAGGGGAGGCGTAGGTGGGGAGTTTCCCAGAAAGGCATAATGATCCCCAAAATAACTATGTGATTCTGGGTCGTGGCGTACGGAAAAAGCTGCTAGTTTTTGGCTGCGTAAAAAATGAAAAGCGTTTTAAAAAGAATTGAGAACCCTCACTGCCCATTTCTGCTCTGTGACCTTTGACCAAACATTCCTCGTCCCTTCGGCCTGACCTGCTTCATAGGATTTTAGTAAAATCCAAATGTGAGTTGAGATAACCATTCGATTTACATAAAAGGCGTCAACGGGGAGGAGATGGAACGAAAAAGGGCGTGGAAGACGTAAGGTATGAGGACGCCAGGCGCGCCGCAAGCACGTGTGTTAAACCGGAAGTGACTCTATGCGTGAGCAAACAACTAAAAGCCGGGAAGACCATGACTTATACAAGTAGTTATCCTTGCGTGATTATAGAGTGCGTTCGAAATTAAAGTATCTTTTGATGATGGAATGTGCACGGAAGCACCACTGAGTGAAGTGTGGGATGATATTTCTAACTAAACGCGAACAGATAAACTCTTTCTAAGCAAAGGGGAGTTCAGTATGTATGTGGGAAAAGCGAGAAATTATTGTAGGTTATTAAATTGCCTTTAATACGTTGGTTCATATTTTTTTGGCTCACGCGAACTATTTAAAAATCCCGTCATCTCTCACGCGATAAGCCGTCGTCACGTAATCTCTTTAAGTTCAAGATGGCGCAGAAAAGACCAACGACGCGCGCAAACAAAGAAAAAGGTAGCCGCTTTTTAGCACAGAACGCCCAAGAATATGTTGTGTTTTCCATACGGTCGAATGCAATTTACTGAATGCCCGGCTACCACTGACTTTGCAGCAACCCCCAAACGTAGGTTCTGCCTTTCACTAACTATGTGTGTGTGTCCGTTTGATGAATATATCCTTTTAACGCTATTTATCCCCGTATCCCCTTCGATATCCACTTAGACAGCATATAAGCGCAAATTAAGTCTGGCCTCTGAAAATGAAAGAAGCGCTCAAAAGGAACGACTAAGTATCCACGTATCCAGCTCTTTCAACGTGGACTTTACAAAAGTAAGCGAGCAGCACTAAGGACTTTAACACAATTTTTAGCCCAGCCGCGTTTCAACGATACACACATCCGGTCGTGAGATCAGCGTTTCGGTTGAATTTTCTTGAGGGGTCATGGTCAAGCTATATAATTTTAATTATATTAGAATCGGGTACTTTGTCATATAAAATAGCCTCATCTTTTCGTCAAAAACTTAACTTATTGCCTAATTTTCAGTTACAAAAAATTATATCGGTAAGTTTTAAATGTTTTTTTTTTTGCCCTGTTGGCATGAAGATCGAGTTTTCAAAACTTAAGAAACGAGTTCGGGCCTGCGGCCATCTTGTTCATGACTATCCAAGGTATGAACACCGCTGTGGGTCTAATTCTTACCAGCCACCCGCTATTTTGTTCCTTCTCGTTTGATCCACGCCATGACAGATTTCCATTACTCGAGGAATTTTTAAAATTCTTCGTGAAGAAAACGTTCAAATCAAAAGTTCCAGCGGAAAGCGCATATTAATGTACTTACCATGATACAGTGCTGTCACCTACTCGGTTGCCTCGGTTAGTACTACGGACTGTTTGGGTCTCCCAAATTTCACATGCAGGTTAACACAGTAGTTAAAACTTTTTTCTTCCTTTCATTTTCATTTTCCATTTACTTTTAGCAACATTGAATTGTAAATTATTTTTTTCCTTTTCCATTACTGTATGTACTGCATCCTTTATCCATTAAATAAAGAATGGATATTATTATCTCAACCTTTTTGTTTTAATAAGTATTCGTATATAGAACTGACTTGACTTGCAATACCAATAACCTAATCAGACAAACCTGTATCAGTTAAGAGAGCCTGTGGTAATAAACGGTAAATTTCTGCCTGTTATTCGACGTTTCTTCAGCTGACGACTGGCAATATGTAGTCTCTCTCTCTACATCAAGGCAACACGGAACAAAGATCACTTAAAATCCCCATGGAATTAATGAGGGCTTCTTACTCAACTGACAACTCTTTTTTTCATGTAGCTAGGTGGCTTCTGGATTTAACAATGCAACCATTAAAATCAGTAAATGCTAGTAAGCTTCGCGAGCAGTACTTTATGCAGTTACAAATATTGGCTTTTACTATCAAAAGTGATTATCTCGCGGCTATAGAAAATGATTTCGTGATCTACTGGTTTAGACAGCGTAGTTTCCGATATAAATATTTTTTAACAAGAAGAAAAGCTTACTTATACTTAAAGGTACTGTGTCACGGCAGTCCAGTTCATTTTGTTTAATTTTGGCCAATTACTCGCCCTCAATCGCTATGGAACTTAAAGTAAGCAAAGAAATTACATATAAATGACAAAATCAGAGACCTGAGACAAACAAATATGTCTCCTAAGCATTATTTTTGAAGTTACAAGCAGCAGGGATCAACTTTGAAAAACCGTTAGGCTGAACAGTTTTCAAAAGTCTAATTTCAATCCGTTTCAATCTTCTTCAGTTTTGCCCATCCGTGACTTCTGTTGTTTCTGTTATGTTATTTTAACCTTCCTTTAAAGTTTTAAGCCGTCATTTTTATGTTCCTCTTAATTTAAAGGGGATTTTGTAATTTCCTAATTTGGCAGAATTTCGTGACACAGCTCCTTCAGAAGTATAAGCGAAGCCCATTTCGTAGGAGTAGTAGGAGTGAGAAAATAGAGCTGTGATTATGGTTTGACTGATGTATAGTGATTATGATTAAGCATTAATTTAGAATGGTAAGCTTTTATTCTCTGTTTTGGAAACTCTATATAGTAATACTATAAAATTACGGCTGTCGGTACCGATTGCTCCTTTAGGTAAGAGATAAATGTACACAGGGCTACAGGTCCCCTAACCCTCTTTACTTTGGTCTTTCTTCTTTTTCTTTTAAACTAAAAATTTTAAGGCAAGGTTTCCTTAGTGGGCAGAGTTCATGAGGTATTTGAATTCCTTCTGAGCCACAGAATGTAGGATCAAATTTAGCCCAGGAATTGTACTTGGGCCCACTCAGCCACTAGCGCCGGAGACCGAGTGCTAAAAGGGCTGGGACTAGCTCACAATCAGGATGTCCGTTCAGATCGTTCTGACCACTAGCTGGATTTTTTTCTCGTTAGATCTGAGTATTGTATGTCGGCCACTCTTATAAATAGCTGGCCAACTCAGGTTTGCCCCCCTGCCAGATGGAACTCTAACACTAGAGACCTTTAGATTCCAAAACGAGGACGACTAAGAGTAAGAGATTTTCTCAATAATACGGAAGTACTCGCGCGTGAACCAGCGTCATTTTGGCGGGAAAACGCTTTAGCAGTCGTCATTTTTCTACGAGTTTTAACGAAATTGTCGTAGTGGCGGATGTTAGAAGTTTTATCTATCATTTTGTGTGACGGGGAGAAAATTGGAGAAGGCTCAACCTCCTTCAATAATAACTGTGCTAACTTTTCTGGTGAGCAACAGTATAGTGAAGCTTTCAGGGTTAAATCTCGCGCTCGTAGTCTTCCTCGTCCTCGAATCTCCATTGTTATGTTAAGTTTGAATTACTTGTTTAAGTTCTAAGCTCGGCCTCACGATAGAGTATCTGTGCTAAACATACTGTCGAGGGTAGAAAAAATTCAGGAGCCAATAGCTCCATAGGTCATTATTATTATCATTATCATTACTATTATTATTATTATTATTATTATTATTATTATTATTATTATTATTATTATTATCATTATTATTTAGGGGAGCAAGGGTGGCGTAGTGGTGAGAGCACTCGCCTCCCACCAGTGTCGCCCAGGTTCAACTCCCGGCGTTGACGCCATATGTGGGTTGAGTTTGTTGTTGGTTCTCTCCCTTGCTCCGAGAGGTTTTTCTCTGGGTACTCTGGTTTTTCTCTCTCCTCCTTCCAAATTCCAATTCGATCTGGAACGCACAGACACGTTTAAACGAGTTCATATGAACTCCTAAGTGCTTCGTGGGTAAAAAAGGAAATTTTTTTAAAATTATTATTATTATTATTATTATTATTATGATTCTTATACATTGTACTCAGTATCTGTCTTCTCATTGGCTAAGAGCCTGTAGTTAATTTTGGAAATTAGCGCCATCTATACAAGAGACTAGCTAGTTATCTGCTAGCAGATAACTGACTAATCCGTAGGTTGCGCGCGCAATGCATGATTTCCAAAGGGAGTGAAAGGGAGTGTGGATTCGGTTCCTTGCGACGGTGTGTTTGTCGTTATTTTCTTCAAAACAAAATATAATAAAACAATTATTAGTTTCTGCTTTTGTGCTATCCTAAATGATCAAGATCTCAGTAAGTGTTATCAGCCTCGGCCTTCGGCTCGGATGATGACATTTACTTACTTCGACCTGGATATCACAAAAACCTCATCCAATAATAGTTTATGATTATTTTCTATCTTGATAGAACACCACCGGTCAAGTTGTCCAAGCATGGGGCTCGCACCACGATCCCCGGCCCCGGTTCCTAAATGGTCGATTAGCGCCAATCCGGGATTAAAATTTTGTTTCACTCTTTGTATTTACCTTCTTATGCATTACTTTGAGTAACATTTTGTGTCATCATTCCTTTTTTTCGAAGTAAAGGCACAACAGTATTTTGTAAGCTCGAGCTATATGTTCTGAGACGGGAAGACCTTGCTTAAAATTCGGCTTAATCCTGGGTTAAACTTAACCATCTCTCGAGGAACCTGGCCCTGATGTCAAGTCCAGCAAGCTACACCTACTCACGTAGTATACTTCTGTTAGATTCCGAATTTTTTAATCAACCAGCTCAGTGGTTCCGTCGCTCTCTCTTAAACAACTGGTGGTCAATTAATCCAGAAAACTGATAACTTAGAATAACCTATCTTTATTTTTGTATTTTTTAATGTATATTTTAATATCTATCTAGTTAAAAATTCTATTTCATTTTATTATTATTATTATTATTATATTTTTGTTGCTGTAGCACGTTTTAAATTACCATGTACAACCAAGAGAGTCACTAACTCTCACTGCGATACGATGAACTGATATACAACATCTTGTTAAATAAGTTAAAGTTTTGTCTGCGGCTAAACGGTTTGGATCAGAGTCCAGTTCTGGCATCTGATTATCATTTGAAAAAGCATGTTCAACATAACGCAGAATTTAGCGCTTTTTTAAACAAAAAAATGTAAATGTTCCTGTAATCATTTTTCTCACTTCGACTTCCGAGATGTTCCGAAAGTGGCGGGACATTTTTCTTAACATCTGTTTCAAGGGGTGTAGCTGTCTTAGCAAGCACGGTTTGTTTAGCTTTAGTTGCTCTAGATTAGTTCAGAATTGTAAATAAAAGGAATTTCAAAGGCGTTTAAAAAACATCTGGCATAACTGCATCTCCACAAACATATGAAACACGTACCAGATTTTATGGGTACCAAAAATGTAAAAACATTCCGCCTCATGTAAGGTCATAGAAGACAGACTTGGATTCTGGATTCCATTCTGTGGATTCCGGAATACAGGTATTGGATTCCGGAGTCTTTGTCAGTGGAACTAAGAGTCCGGATTCCTTTCATTAGCATTACATGGTGCGAAACATTCTGAAAGCATTGGGTAAGGACATAACGCCGCCGTACGTAGGTCATGGATTCGTCAATGATTTACTTAAAAAAAAAATAGAATATGTCTATTTTAGCACCATCAAAACCCTGTTGATGAGCCCGGAGGGCGATTTCCCTTATCGCCTCTATTTCCAAAAGACTGTACATTATTCAAAAGAATTCTTTCCGAGTGTTGGCCTACACCGTAGCTCTGGCCTGCGTTTTATCCCCACCCAAGCAATGCGAGTGTACAACATATCAGATTTGTTTGTTCTACGTGTTGTTCTTGTTGTTTAGAAGTTAAGGTTCAGTACATGCTCTTAAGTTAGCATTGTCCTTTGAAACAGGCGAACTATAGCCGCACCAGTGTTCGTTCTCATACGTTAAATATCTTCAGTAACAGTATTCTGCCACTTCTTCGAGAGCACAGCCTTCATGGCAGCATTCTTCCACGATATCTGTCTGCCCTGTGCTTCTCCGATGACGCTGTATTTGTTGTTGCAAAAAACTTAAAGCTTCTTTTTCATCCAAGAACATGGACCCTGAAAGAAATATTTAAAGGAGAGGTTAAACGATCAGATTGTCTTTGAATTTGATAGCGGAACGTGACCATTCATCGACAAATAACTTGTTATGACCACCTGTAAGAGGCAAGAGGTTTCCGCTTGGTATCCCAATATAAATAGCAATAATCAAAAAACAGCAAGCGCGCGGGGAACGATGGGAGAAGGGAAAAGGTGCGAGCCTCGCTTTCCCTTCCCATCGTCCCCTAAGCGCTTTATTTTTCCCTCTCCCCAGCCTCCCTACGATACAAAGAGGATAGACGGCAAGACGCGCTTTCGTGATTGTTACTCCAAAAAAGGAAATACAATCGTCGGTTTAAAACTCATATTGCGTGACTACTCAAAGGGCCCCGATTAGGGTTGTTAATCCCCGTTACCCAATGATGAAAGGTCGAAAGAGAAACGAGAAAAATGTCTGCATAATGCGCTAAATCAAAATGAAAAGATTTGGTTTTACATTCAAGAAAATGAAATTTACTTTTTTTCTGGGTATTGGTACTTCATAACAGCATTTCCCGCATTTCGCGTGGTAAAATCTCTTGATCACGTATCTTGCTAATCACGTATCTCGCGAGACACGAAAGTGCAGAATATCTTGCTGTAGGAGTTTCTTAAGCTAAGTGATATGAAAGTAAAAAAGTGTTATCATAACTTCAGTACCCCTGCTGCTTTTAGTAATTTCTTTTCTTTTAGTTTTTTCTGACGGTTTTAGGAAATTGTAAAGATATTAAATGTTAGAATGTGTAACCAAATGATGACGAGTGAAATTAGGAACTAATTTCACGCGCGTTTTGTCGAAATTCTAATGATTTCCCGAGCCTTTACCTATCAATATCACGGGTGACAAATTATGCTCACAATCGTGTTTTTTTTTACTTGTTTATCGTACTGAAGAACTCCACGTACTGAAAAGTTTAGAGAATAAATTTTAGCATAAGTTCACAAGTTTTTGAATTTTTTGACAAAATACCTGTAAGAATCCTTCTTAATGCGTTTTTTCGTGTTTTTTCTATTTTCTAAAGCGTCTTTTAGTGCCCTGACATCTTCATTCATAACATTTAAAACTTCGACGTCATCTTGGCACTGAAACGAAGGAACGCCACGGCAAAATGAAAAATTAATGCTGAAATTTCGCGCCAAAATTAAGGAGTAATTTGTCATCCATGATATTATTAGTGAAACTTGAGTAATGCCAGAAAACAGTTGTAAACTTACGACGCTTTCTTGAGTTTGGAGAACACACTTGATTCCAGAAGGAAGTGATTTCGTTTCCGCAAAAAAAGTCATACACCTGGCTACTCCCAGCTTCGTTAACTTTATATATTGGAGGTGATTCTAGGGAATAATAATAAAAATTTTTCTATTAAACTTTTTAAAGTGCTCAAATTTAACCTGGTTCCCAGGTCTCACTCTGTCAAGTACGCCCCTTTCCCTTAGCCCTGGGAGATCTGAGTACGACGAAATTAGCTCAAATGTTCCTCAACTGCAGCTCACTTCGGCATCGCAAGAAAGTGTTGCCAATAAACAAAATATTTGAAGGAGCTGAGTTAAAGTCATTTTGGTGGCCATAGACTGCTGACCACATGACATGTGTCTCTGTTGGGGTACCTGCGGACTTCGATTTTCGTCGCCCGTTTTCCATCAAATCGTCGGTTTTTCAGGCGCAATCGTCGCATATCAAAATTGTTTTGCATTGTAACGCCACTAGCGAGCTCAGCACGACCATAACGACGACGGAAGGAGAAAATAAGCGAAAATAAGAAAACTCTAAACGTGCAACAGAGGTTTCTTTGCCGTCATTGCACGCCGGACTAACACTGTCAAACTTGATTAAAATGGTAGCTATCGTTGCTTTAATCTCTAAGATCGTCGCCACTTCGTTTTCGTCGGAAATACCCGGCCCATACAGATCCTCTGACATGTTCCACTTGGTACAAGTATAAGAACCGACACTATTTTAAACTCTGCTCCAGAAGCTTTTTTGATATAGGTCGTCTGCTGAACTATAAAGGTTCTTGAAATCGTTTTTTCATAAGAGACAAATGGCTTGTCATTTAAATTAATATCGCTGTGTTCACTCCCTCCTTCTTAGGCTCAGTTCAAACGTCCATCTTTTCATACGATACCTTTCAAGAACTGGATGTTACATTAGTTTCACTGTTTGAGGGTTGTTTTTATGTCCAAACAGTGTTCCGTACCAGAGAAATTACTGATGAACCATGGATGCTGATATGCAAAAAAAGTGCAATTCTACTAATAAAATATTGCAAAAATTTGTAATTTTAGTATTTACCAGTTCCCTGAGAAGACGCTGTAGAAGACACAGGTTCAGGGCACAGAATATTCAGTAACAGGATAGCAGTGACTGTAATAGTGCTCCACAAACATGAATGTCTCATCTGAAAAGAACAAAGAAAAAGTAAATATAATGGTGCTTCAATAAGTTAGCCATCTGCATGAGCCGTAGCTATAATGATATATTGCTTCTTTAACCATTGCTTTCAAGATGCAAACCTTACATTAATGGGTGAGTATTGCATATAGTCCTGTTCAAACAGTTAAGTGCTTACTATGTACAAGAGAACAAGCAATGCTATCGCTCTCTTGTGGGTGTTGTACTTTGAGTAAAGGTGAAAGGTAATTTCATGAGTAGAGCTTTGAACCCTCTTTGTCGTTTTCTTTGTGATCATAAGTACTCGCTTCCGTTTGGTTTACATGTCAGTTCTTAAGTTTGGTGCTCAGAAGTTCTGAATGTTCGAGAAAAACTTTAAAAATCTTAACCAGGGACCTGTAAGAACAGGTGCGAAATTTGATGTGCTTGAATCTTCAAGTGTGTTTCCCGTACTTTTTTGTTTTCGCTCAAGCGTTCTTGTAAATGTATATAAAAAACGAAACCTGAAAAAATACTGATTCATAACATTTAACCTTTTAAATAGATTAGCATTGTTTAGAATGAAAAAGATTTCAAACCTTTTTTGGGTTCCTCAGATGCTATTAATTTCTAACAGCAACAATCCGTAGTTTTAACGAAAGAAAATAAGTTATTCAACAGGATGACACACGTGGCATGCGAGCAACAAATGTGTAAGTTTGAAATCCGGGCTGTAGCAGCCTCGGTTCAGCTAAAAGTTTTAGCAAAATTATGCTAACTTGTTTATGTGTGCATTCACCATTTGTTCTGCAAGTAAAATGAAAAGGGCAGTTCTCGGGTAATTAGGCTTTGTAGCTTATTGCACGTGATGCACGTGCCGTGTTCTTTAAATTTTCAAAAATATTCATCATCGCACTACACTTCCATTTAGGGAGACCTATTAAAATACCTTTACCGTCGTTATCATTAAGTTGTTGTGTAACTTTTGTATCAAGTTATGTAACTTGATGCGCGTGACGCACAGCTGTACGTTGAAATTACAACAAAAACCATCTGTCATTAATTACCAAGGCGAATAAACATTGTGTTTTCTCAGTGCCATCAGTTCATTGTTGTCTTAGATTATTACGTTCCGAGGGGGGACGCAAAAAAGTGTGGTGTATTCAAACTTTCCCCCTTAATCGAAATAATTTCATGCGAAAATTCCCTCCCCCCCCTTACAATAATAACAACAACAACTTTATTGACTTTATCTTCGACATGAAGATTTCAGTACCAAAACAATAACAAATGAAAAAAGTAAAATAAAAGTCAAGTAAGAAGGAAAGGAACAATTGAATATTATCATAAAAGAAAAAAAATTACTTAGCTATGTACGGCTTCCACGCTTCTCGTATGGTAAGAAAGTTTAATTAGAGTTCGGATGCATAACTATTTAGAATATTTTCAACATAAGAGGCACTGATTCACACTGATAATTTTTAAAGTACATAATACATCCCCTCCCCCATCTCTTCCAAAGGCCAAATTTTAAGATGATCCGTTTTTCTCTCCTCCATTCCTTTCTTGGATTTTGACTAAACAAGCTATTGGATACCGGTAATCTGCCATGACTGCGATATTGCGTGATGCTTCTGGAAAAATGCGATCGTCGTCTGGGTAGTATGGTTAGGTAAAACTAGTTGGGAGGGTTCTGGGGCAAGCTTGGTTGCAAAACATTCTCAATATGGCAGCTCTAACTAGCAAACGCCAAGGGTTTTTGGGAAATTCAGTATCATCCGCTGTCCAATATCACTGTAGACACGTGTATTGTATCTATAATTCCGTATATACTCGCAATTTTGCGTCAGCAAAGAAAACTTGTCGAGAAAAAGTTGTTACCTTAAATAGAACTTTTTCAGAAAAATGACAATATTAACTGAATTAAACTGAAATTTTGACAGATTTTGTCTTTTAATAGTTCTAAATATGAAAGAAACAGGAATCAACAACTATTAAATCATCGTTTGTTTTTGTTTTTTCTTTTTTAATAAAGAAAAGAAAAAAATTAAAACATAGTAACACAGACACCTTCAGGTAAGGTTTTAGTTTTTGGCGGATTGCCTTCTATTTGCAAATGATAAACCTCCTGGTGTTTTCAAGTGTTATTTAGAACATTTAGTTGCTAATTTGAAATGTGTTTTTATTTTAATCTTTTAAGTACCGACGGAAAGACTAACTATTGACACAGCGGATACCAAAAAATGTCACGGTTTTGAGAGGAAAACGTGAATTTTTCCTAACCTTACTTTCGTTCTTAGTTAGGCCATAAAAAGCCAAGAACATTGTAAGACATTTTTAAATCCACACTGTTCCCAATCGAAAAGTTTTCTATCTTCTCAGTTTAAGGTAATTCAGCCTTACTTTTGGTTGATTTCTTTCCTACAAACGATTTTCTGAATTAACCGGCCAATGTTCTTGAAATAAGCTTGATAAAACAAGACACTGTTTGGAGATTTAGAACCAGAACATGTTAGCTTAAAGTATGACCCTAGACCCAAAATTAGGTTCGTAATCTCAAATTAAAGTTGAATTTTAAGGGAAAAAAGTCCGTCACCTCATTTTTTTGTTATCAGAAATTGCGAGTAATAATCTGGGTAAATGCATCAGAGTTTATAAGGGCAGCTTCTGATTTTCTAGTTCGGAATGCTGGGTCACAATGAAGTATTTCCCCTACGAACTCGACAGATCTGCGACTAATAACAGTTTTATATCCTTTAAAAGTGCCTGAAAATACTTTCAGTGGATAAGGAAAGGTATCTTCTACTTAGGCTTTAAGAAAATTTGGAAAGATTTCAGCAATTGTAAAAGGCGAATATCAAACCTTATCTCTTGGTCGTTTCCTTGATGAGAATCGGTTACCGTTCGATGCCAGCGCCGGTCACTACTAGTTCTCACAGTAACTAACTTGACTATAAAACACGAGCGCATCGCATTGTGGTTAACACTTAGGAGCTCCTTACGCCTTACGAGCATGAGCTTTAAGCGGATATACGTACGTTCGTTGTTATGGAGGAAGTTAGGTAACAAGTAATATTATCATGACATTTACCGTGCATTTTTTGTCTTGAAAACAACAAAACGCACGTACTACGGCTAATATAGGCTTAATGGATGCTTCTGAATCATTTTTATTTATATTTATCGATAGAGTTGAAATGACAATGCATTTTGAAGGAACTCCAAAGGAAACTGGCACGTTTTCAGGCATCATTTGAAAAAAGACTGTTTTCTAGTTTTTTAATCCACAAAATTATCATAGTATACACCACTTTTGATGACAAGAAAAAACGTTTAACTGTCATTTATTAGTATCAGTGGACTGCGCTTGTTATTTACCTTAGGACTGAATTTTTTTGACAAGAAGTCGAACTCAGAATGTTGGAAAGCAAGCTTATGTTCTTGCGGTAATTTATTAACCCTTCCGAAAACACCAGAATTTTTGTCTGAATAATCTCTTAAATCCTACGGAACGTAAACAGAATTATACGCCCAACAGTAGACGATTACCAAGCCGGCTGCAAGGGGGCAAATTGTTGGCTTTTTTACGACCACTGAATATTTTTTCCGAAATTGAATCCACTATTTTGAACCACTGGAAGGATTTATTTTTCTGATCACAATAGTTGATTTATTTGGATGAGGGGCCTCTGAGGTCACGTACTGACTGCTTAGGCCGAACCAGACGCAGGATTTTGAAACAGTTGTTTTTGATTTGATATTTTTAAAGAGGAACTGTGCATGTGCATGGATCACCTTTAAGCAAATTTACTTTCCAATGTAAACTTTGACAGTCGGTAATGTAGCTCTCTTCTCACTTACTTCGTGAAAAACGTATGAATATTAATGAATTTGTCTTTGACCATCTTACTCCTCTATTAATTCTTTGTTGTAACAATGTGATTCGAACTAATAATTTTGAACAAAAAAGTCTATTACTAGTTGAAGTTATTCAACAGGTTGTACTCAATTTTCAGTCTGCGAATCAATCCTTTCCATTCAACTGAAATAAAAGCAGCGTCGCAAAAGCAACACCTGTTTCCTTACTTTTTTCTCACAACTGATTTCAAAACTCATTTTGATTCCTTTATTCAAAAGTAAATCATTACCAACTGCCTTTGCTTAGTTAAGATTGCTAAGAGAAAAGAAATTAGAAAAAGAGGGAATTACAATAGTGTTGAGTACACATATTCTGCTATTGGAAAACGTAAGGCACGAGTATCCCTCTGAATTGACTGTCCACCAGAATCCTATGTCGCGGATTTAATCCACGCAGTTCAGGGAGGGATGCCAAACATAAAACAAAAGTATTTTGGTTTCGTCAAAAGGCAGTGGATTGATTTTAATTCGCTTTAAATCACCGATGATTACATCATTTGCATTATTATAACTATTTATATCATTTTGCACTTCAATAGCAGGCGGATAAAGAACACCTTGGAACTCTCTAGCGAAAAATATGGACTGGCCAGCTAAAAAAAATAATCCAATATCACTACAGGTCTTTTATCTTTTATTGTGCTAAATTCCAAGCCAATATTACTTAGTTTAAGTCCTTAAAACAACCAAAAAAAAGGAATAAAGTTTTGGCTAAATTGATATAAAAAGAAAGTCACGTGTCAACTTGAATCAGCGACACTTGCAGCTCATCATTTTCTCAAAAAACGTGACACAAACTTGGTTGGTCGTCTTTTTGGCCTACCCCTTTTTTTAAAGTTATTTTTGGCAGTTAAGATACGGTATAGACATAACAATTTCCAGTGTAAGTAGTCTTGTTCAATGTTGTACAAGTAGCTTGTCGAGGTCAAATAATATTCTAGGTGGATGGATTTAGTTAAAAGCTCTTGACAAGCTTATTTCTGTGGCGTATAAGGTGTAATACTGATATTCTCTTTGAACCAAGAGCGCCAAAGTAAATAATACACCTCAGTTTATAAAAGCCTTTAGGCTGGGCGATTCCTGGGGGTTCTCGAATGATCCGAATACATG